CAATCTAAACATGAAAGAACATACGTTTTTATTTCTTTACGCATTTTAGGCCAATAATACCGTGACCTTATTTTAAAATAAGTTTTAGTAAGACCTTGGTGTCCACCTAGCACCGAATCATGATTTTCGTGAATTACAATTTTTTTAAATTTGCTAGGTAACGCGAGCACGAACTTAGAAGAATCTTTAAAACTATTTTTGTAGTATAATACATTGTTATCCTTGATAATATAATTTTTTGATTTATTAAGCCATGTAGTATTGCTTTCATTTGGATTTTTAATTGCAGTTATGATATTTTGTAAATAATTATCCGAAGCTTGTTCTAATTGGATATTAATTGGTTGTACTAAATTTACGTTGGGTTGTTGTAATATTGTATGTACGCCTATTTTTGAAAGCTCTGTAAATTCAGAAAGTTTTGGTGGTTCGTCTATTATTCTACTAAGACAATCTGCAGCTTTATTAAAAATTCCTTCTTTATATTTTATAGAATAATCAAAACCTGTTAGTTTAACTTTAAGTTTATTAACTATACGTGAATCAGTTTTAATATTTAATAAGCTTGTTAAGTTTTTATGATCAGTCCAAATTTCGAAGTACTTTCCATGAACATAAGGACGAAAAACAGTTAATGCGTGAAAAATTGCTAGACACTCTAAATCCATTGCGCTATATCGGCCTTCGGCTTTAGTCAGTTTTTTGGATGAGAATGCTACTGGATGAATTTCATTGTTTTGATTACGCTGCTGGAGGATAGCACCTAAACCCAATTTAGATCCGTCAGTTACAATTATAGTTTCTGCATTTTCATCATAGTGAGCTAATACTGGCTGACTAGTTAATTTACTTTTCAGTTCAAGAAAAGCACGTTCATGTGTGTCTTCCCACTTGATTGGTGAACGTTTGCTATTGAATTTACCTCTAGTTAGATCTGTTAAAGGTTTTGCGATGTTACTAAATTTTGGAATATAACGTCTAAAATAATTAGCTAGACCTAAAAAACTGCGAAGTTGTTTAATCGTTTTAGGTTGTGGGAATTTTTGTATAGTTTCTATTCCCTGTTGAGTGGGTCTTATTCCCTTCGTATCAATAATGTTGCCTAATACTTTTAATTCCTGATAGCCAAATCTACACTTAGATGGTTTTAGTTTTAAGTTATACTTTAAAAATCGTTGAAATGTTAATTCTAGTGAATGTAAATGAGATTCGAATGATTTGCCAAATGCAACGCAATCGTCTAAATAGCATATATTGTGTCTATAATTTAAGCCAGCCATGACTTTACACATAGCAGCTTGATAAAATTGGGGTGCATTAGATAACCCAAAAGGTAAACGAGTAAACTGAACATGATAATTTTCAGTTGAATAAGCTGTAAGAGCTTTAGAATTTTCAGAAAGTTCTATTTGATGGAAACCTGAAGTAGCATCTAAAGAACTAAAATATTGATTTCCTGCTAAACAATCATATAAATTTTGTATTATTGGTAAAGGGAAGCTTTCACGATAAATTATTTCATTAAGTTTTCGAAAGTCTATTACCATTCTGTATTCTTTTGATCCCTCTTGACTTTTGCTGCATTGTCCTTGATTTTTAGCGACTAAAAACACAGGATTAGAATAAGGACTTGAAGATTCCTCTACAATACCAGCTTTTAAAAGTTCCTCCGTCTGTTTTTCGATTTCATTACGCTCTACGCGGCTTAACTTAAAATTAGGTAAATTTATTATTTTATTACTTGATAACTGAAGTTCTATCGGAGCAATTTTACACGAGCCTAAATCATATTTATGTTTAGAAAAAATTGTACTATATTTCATTAATAAACCTCTAAGTTTATTTTGATGATCAATAGATAACGCTGGATTAATGTCCCAGTCTAGTTCGTTTTCAGATGTTGTAACAGTAGGAGATAACGAAATATTACTTTTAACGTTTTCTGAGAATTGAGTCGTGTTCGTGTGGGAATCATTGTTACCGTTTTTTGCTACGTCTTGTTTAACGCTACGTGTTTTAAATTTGCTTTCTCGTTCGGATGTCGGAGAAGTAGTAAAATCACGTTTAATTATTCTATGTTGCAAGATATTTTTTCTAACGGATAAAGTATTAAATTCATTAATTTGAATAATACTACGAAATGTGCGAACTAATTTAGCATTTGGATTGTAAAACAAGGGTGTCCAATGACAATTTGAAAACAAAACCATTACAAACGATTTGTTAGGGTTTGAAAAGTGTAATATAGAATTAATATTATTGTTTTCTGTTATAATTATTAAGCCTAAATCAAAATAATTTGTGACGGCTGCTAAGTCTTCACTTTCTAAATAAATTGGCTTATCAGACAGATCGATTCCTAATAATTTTTTTATTTCATAAGCATTAATATCACTACCTCTATTATTTAAGACGGCTTCGAATGTTGATACTCCACACCAACCGTCTAGTGCTACTTGTGTTAAAATATCGCTTTTCGCGGCAATTTCACTAACACTCAACTGAACAAGATTTATTGAATGATTATTCATGAGTTTGATAGATTTTAAGTTGTCGAATTTTTTTGGTTGATCAATGTTTGTATTAAATGTCAAGATATTGTTATTGTAAACAAAATTTATATTCACTCTTTCATCGTTTTTTAATAAAGTAATTTTAGACTCTTNTTATATTCACTCTTTCATCGTTTTTTAATAAAGTAATTTTAGCCTCTCGGGTGTAGATTGTCGCGCTATATTTTTTAAAAAAATCATATCCTAATAAACTATTTAAAGATAAATTATCGACTACGGTAAAGTCTATCGAAAATATATCTTTTTCAAATTTTACCTCTAAAGTAGTTTTACCTACCACATGCAAATGTGATCCGTTAGCTGTAGTTAATGTAACATTATTAAGTGGATAAATAATATGATCACTGGGTAAAAAATTCTTATTTATAATACTTGTACTCGCTCCTGTATCAACCACGAAAATAATATCTTTTTTATTTACTTTGCCCATTATTAGCGGAGGATCGTTAGTTTTAATTGAATTCAAGAATTGATTGTTTAATTCATAACTAGTTACCATATCATTAATATTGACTTTTTCATTAATTAAAGGTGGGTCAATGTTATTCACTTTTAATTGATTAGAATTGTGCGCGCTATTACATATTGATGGTGGTTGAAGAGAAAAATTGTAAGAAATAGTAGGTGGAACGTAATGTTGAATGGCTAACTGATGGGGTGAATTCTCTAAATTAGGATTATTTTGAAGATAATGTGGTGATTTCCGTATATAACGCCATAGTTAATAATAATAGTTAACGCGACGGTTATTATGATAAAAGTGCCTATTCATGTTGTTAACCCTATAAAAATTTCCTCTATAATTTTTATTGTTATAGTTCTTATTTACATTATTTCTAAAATTTTTACTTAATTTGTTGAATCTACATTTATTTGTTCTATAATTCATTACTCTACGCTGATTATGGTTTGGATATGTCATTAAACTTTGGTTACCTACATAATTTACATTTCCATAATCATTAAATTTAGCATTATGTTTTTTTAAAAGAGAATCTAATTCCCTTTTCAAAATGCCTACATCGCTATCGTCATTTATCAAATTTGTATTTCTCTCAATTCTTAAAATATTTTCTATTCATTTATCTATTGTACTATTATCTAATGACTCAAATTTATTAATTATTTCAACTGGTAGTCCCTTAAAAAAATACTCTATAATATGTTTTTCCGACATTATACCGTCAAACCTACGACATTCTGCTACTACTCTTACTAAAAAATTTTTAATCGATTCACTTTCTGTCATTTTCATCATAATTAAATTTTTTCTTATTAAATTTATATTATTGTAAGAGTTAAAATTAATTAATGACAGTTTAACATCTTCCCAAGTTAATTTTGTCGATCGATATCCTATACATTCAAATATTTTAAGTGCATGATCCTGTAAATATAAGGGTAACATAGAAAGTCTTTTATTATCATCCCATTCATTTGCTTTTGCTACGCGATCGAAATATTTAAGATATTTATCTATATCTGTTTCCACATCTCCCGAATATGATAACGGTTCGATAAAATTTTGCATATTTTTATAAATTATACACTTATAAAAAAAATAAAATAAAAAAAAAACAAAATGGTAGAAATTATTATTACGCCCAAACAGCAATTGACATTCCAGAAAAAATTATAATATTAATAATAAAAAATTTTACTTAAATAATCTAACTGTAACTCGTGTACACTTTAGGGGAATCGACTTCGTATATGAGTGCCTTAAAAAAAAAATAGAAAGTATATCTCGGAACTCAATTAAAATACAAAGACCGGCGCCTCCACCATATGTTAGGGGTTTGTTTAATAGTTGAGGATCTTGGTCAAAACCAAGAATCGGAAGCTACCCGACGTCTGCCCAAATATCGTCCCTATCTCCTTAAATGAGTTTTAATTGCCTGAAGGAGACACAGGCAATCGTGTACCTTAGTTACAGAGGATAGATTATTAAATAAAATTAGACTATTGTTTTATGTCAACGACAAAGTAAAGTTATATTTTAGATGTTTAGTAAATATAAGTTATATGTAATGTACAATACGTCTGACCTGAATCCTAGTACAGTTGGTTAGTAGGTATATCCAAGTGAGACGGAGTTGGTTGGCTATGATGACAATTGGCGATAGACGGGTCGTTGAATAAAACAAGTAAAGTTATAAATAATATAAATAAGAAGTAAGTAATAATATTGAAGACTATGTCTATAACNAAGTAATAATATTGAAAACTATGTCTATAACGGCCACTCAAACACAACTGCCCTTTGTTAGTTCGACGTCAGTAGCTCCGGGCTACAGACGAGTAGAATTGTCATATCAGCATCTCCCTCTATGCTAATTAATATGTACTACGAATTAAATAAATAGAAATAAAATGTGTGTAATATAAGTGGTAAGAACATAGTAATAAATGTTCTTACANAAATAAATAATAGATCCTGATGCTCCTAGTCGAAAGGAACATACTTATAGAGAATGGCACCATTGGCTTGTTGGAAATATACCAGGTACTGAAATAAGCAAAGGTGAAACTCTTTCAGAATATGTTGGTTCAGGACCACCACCAAATACTGGTAATTAATACAGTATGATTGCTGACTTATTATTTTTATTTTGAAATATTGTTCTTAGGACTTCATCGTTATGTATTTTTGGTATACAAACAACCATCTAAATTAACATTTGATGAACCACGTTTAACTAACAAGTGAATATTTAAAAAATTATTCTTAATATTATTTTTATAAATTATTTTTTAATTATATTTCAATATTTTGTTTTTATTTTTTTTTTTAGATCAGCTCTTAATCGTGAAAAATTTTCTATTCATAAATTTGCTAAGAAATACACCCTTGGATCACCAATTGCTGGCAATTTTTATCAGGCACAATTTGATGATTATGTACCATTGCTTTATAAACAATTGGGTGCAGCTTAATCTGCTAATAATGATTATCAGTTTTAACCTGGAAATGTTAAATCAATAATATATTAAATATGTTCAAATATATATATATATATATACATATGTCCTCATTTCAATTTATTAAATTATTTATGTACTTTCTATAAAAAGTTTTAATAAATGAATTTTTCGACTTAAAGTTATAGTTTATTTTCTTAATTTAATCTTTTCGCTTTTGTTTTCATTATATTAACATGTTTTTTTATCAGAATGTATATTTGTTGAAAATGGCACTATTTAATAGTAGTTTATTTCAGTTAGTTATCAACAGTTATCTTATCTAAATAATATTAATGAACTTTAACATTATAATCAATCAGTTCACTGTTATATTAATAAAGCAATGTTAGATAACTACTTTAGTGGTAACCATACAATATTAGTTCTAGTTTAATTTGATGCTATTGATGAATACATGAATAAAGAACAATTTTTTTTATTATACTAATTTAATTGTTCTAAACAATATTTAAGTAATAATGATAAAACAACGACTGAAAAAATGGACATCTATAATTAATACACAATTGATATTAAGTATGTATTCTTTATTTGTATATTATTTTAGTTATCTAAAAATTTGTTTTACTTCATGTAAATGTTACAGAACGATCATTTGTAGATACACTAAGAAAAACTAGTTTATATGATTTTCATGTAAGTAATGGAGGCAAAATGGTACCATTTGCCTCTTATTATATGCCTATTTCCTATTCTGATTCTATAACATCATCNACCGCTTCACTGTAAACCGGACCGTTACACACACGCGTTATCGTCGTGGTGTAAAGTCCAACAAATGCCTAGCGTCGAATACCCCGCCGCAATAATACGTCTAGTAAGTCATCTCCGTGACATCGTATCGTTTTGATCGCTCGCCGTCAACTCTACTGTGCCGAACACTCAGTTATGAACTTTAGTGCCTTTTGTATATGCTTATGAATATATATTTGTCATATTTAGTTTTATTGTAATCTGTTAGACATTACGCCTTCCAGGGCAATATACAGTTTTTGTTCGAATACCAATAAATATTCCTACATTTTGTTTCGAACCATCAAAGTGTTGCGTTTTCTTTCCTTTCTTCACATTATAATATCCCGCGAGTGCGGCAAAATACTGACTACAACAGTAGATACACTAAGAAAATCTAGTTTATATGATTTTCATGTAAGTAATGGAGGCAAAATGGTACCATTTGCCTCTTATTATATGCCTATTTCCTATTCTGATTCTATAACATCATCACACTTGCACACTCGGAAATCATGTTCATTATTTGATGTTTCACATATGTTACAAACTAAAATATATGGAAAAAACAAAGAGCAATTTATAGAAGAAATGTGTGTTGCAGATATTCAAGGTTAAGAAAATTTTATAATTTAATGAAAAATAATTTTTACTAGATTACAAAAATTTTAGGATTAAAAAAAGGAACAAGTGTTTTAAGTTTATTTGTGAATGATCATACTGGATGTATACTTGATGATTTAATTATTACTAAAACAGAAGAAAATTATATATTCATGGTTACAAATGCGGGTTGCAAAGAAAGCGACATGAAAATGATATTAGAGAAATTAGTAAATTTATATTTTTAGCATTGTTAAGTATAACTTTTAACTGACTATGAATGATTACTGTTAGGCTGACTTTAAATCAAAAGGGAAAGACGTGACTATTGAATTTTTGGACAGCAATGATCAGTCTTTGTTAGCATTACAAGGACCAAAATCAATGAATGTTCTTCAACAATTAGTTACTGTTGATCTGTCTAAATTATACTTTATGAATAGTGTGATTGCAACAGTTTGTGGTGTTCCCAACTGTCGCATTAACCGTTGTGGGTATACAGGAGAAGACGGCTTTGAAATATCTGTACCTTCTGATAGGGCAACAATGATATCTGAGAAACTCCTAATTAATAATAGTGTTAAACTAGCTGGACTTGGAGCTAGAGACACATTGAGGTAAAATTAATCTAAACAAAACATTTGTTAATTTTTATAAAATTGGTATAAAACTAAATAGATTAGAAGCTGGAATGTGTTTATATGGATCTGACATTGATAGTACCACTACTCCAGTAGAAGCTGCATTAGTGTGGACAATAAGTAAGATTTAAGTTAAATTTCATAGATATTAAAAATTAAACGATGAGATTTTACTTTGAAAGGTAAAAAAAGAAGAGATGAAAGAAATTTCAAAGTAATGTTTTTTATTTTTTTTAATGTAATTTATTAAAGGAAAAACTTTACAATTAGACAATTGTTAACAAAATATTTGTAAAAAATAGAATAACAATGTTAAATTTTAAAAACTATTTTTAAAAAAATTGCATAATTATTTTGTATTAATATTGTTAGTTGCTATTTAAATATAATATTTGTAATTAATTCTTTGTTTTTATAAAACCAAAAATTCAACATAATTAGTTTTATAATAGGTGTTATTATGCTGAAGAAGACACGTCTGTTAATTTGGATTGGTACCTTAAAAAAAATTATTTTAATGCAATGCAAAAATTAAAATTTACCTCCTTACATTTTTTCCTGAAATGGTAGACTTTTTTTCATTTTAAAGCGGTAGTTATATCTAGAAATATTAATCATTTTTTTTAGTTTCATGTTTTTCTGATAAACTGTCTATTATTTAATTTTAATTTAAAACAATTTTATTTTTTAAACTTTTTGTAATATCACTCATTTCATTATTCCACCTGTTTTAAAAAATAATTTGATAAAAACTAATTTTATTTTCAGTAAAATTAATAGAAATACTCAAAAATATTTAACTCAATTCATTAAATTTTTCATTTAGTGAAAAATAATTAAATTTTCTATTTTATTTTATTTACATACATATCTATCGTTTTTTTATAAGCTTCAATATTTTTTATTAATTCAGCAATTATTTTTTTGTCGTGTTGATCACAATTTTCTTCAGGCTTGTTTTTAAAAGTAACGTAAGACTTATATTAATATTCTTCTCATAATAGAGGGACCAATTATTTATTTTTTATTTTTAAAATGACCAGATTAAAAACCTCTATAAATATTTTTAATAGGCATTACTTTAATATTTAGTCAGAGGTATCATATTATGAACTTTTTAATAAAAATAGACTTCATAAATTTAACTTATCCAAATCAATAATATCTCGTATAATAATTGAATTTCTTTTTTTTTGTTATCTTTTATTTACAGTTTTTATTTATTGTGCGACGTATTGAAAAATTATTCAAAAAAATCCCATATCTTATCCAGAACGTGATCTTGGTTTTGTTACGTCCCTAGCAAATTTTCCAAGCTGCGCCCCTCCCATATATGCAAATATTAAATTCTAAAATTTGTTTCCCTAACCTATGATCTAAATATAGCCCTACTTTTATGGTATCCTAAACATAGATTAACATTTTGAAATAATGTTGTAATATTATATTTTTTATGTTATAAATTATCACTTACGATTTGTTAATTTCCATCTCCAAAACTTTAATACGATCAGTTGTTTCTAATAACTCATTTTTATCTTCCGCTATTTGACGCATGGCGCTGTTTAATTGTTTTTTTAATGATTCTTCTTTATCTTATAAAATCATTATTTCCATTTTGTATCTTGCCGATTTTCTTTGGAAACTAAAAAATAGAATGAAAATTATGAATTTTGTAATGAAATTTTATTGTTTCAAAACTTCATATTTCTATAAATTATTCAAATTAAAAAAATTCGATATTAATTTTCCTTTACTTTTCTACATCTTGCATAAATGCTTTTTTTATGAATTCTACTTCATTCATAATTTTTTCACTTTCGATTTTATAGTCATCAACTTCATCCATCAAAGATCTCTCTTCCAAATGAAATAAAGGTGGTAAGACACATTCTTGGGGGACTGATTCATATTTTTTTGTCAAATCGGCATANTGGGCGACTGATTCATATTTTTTTGTCAAATCGGCATATTCTTTAGTTTTTTTTTCTAAATCTCGTTCGGCTGTTTTCTTTTCCTGTTAAAAAATATTTATAATTTAAAAAATATAATAAAAGTACATTTTTTTTACACTCATTCCACCATTTGCAAACGCTGGGTTTCTATATTGACTTCTTGAAATTTTGTATCGTAAATTAATTTGACTTTTTCAACTTCGATACTAATTTTGTTACCAGCATCCACTACTAACCTCTTCAATTCTTCTTCAAGTCGATTAACTTCATCTGAAGGAAAGTATATTGTTATTATTGACTAAGTGAAATAAGTAAAATAGTCAATTTTTTTTTTAATAATTTGATAATTATAACCATTGGATTTNTTTTTTTTTAATTAATTTGATAATTATAACCATTGGATTTTTTCAACTCTTCGGTGACACGCTGTTTTTCCATACAAGTTTTCTCTACTAATTCAATATTTTCTTTAACTTTGTCTCTTGCTGTCGATTCATCTCTTTCGTATTTGTCTATCTTTTCGTGACAAAATCTTAATGCTGTTTCTAATTCATTTCGCACTACAGAATATGTTGATAACTTTTAACATTAAATTGATTTCATTTAATTAATTAAAAATAAAATCACTAAAAACTGTATAAATTTAGGAAATTACGCCTGGAGAAAATATAATCAAAAATTAAAATACCATCGTAAAAAAGATTAAACAATGTATTTTTCTCTGTTAACATGAATAAATATATTTTCAGGAATAAATTTTCAAGTGTTGCCATCAACATTTTTTTTTTTTTATTAGATAAAAATTTCAAATTTTTTTACTTCATTTAATACTCCAGTTTTTTTTGCCAGTTATATTCTCCTGAAATGTTTTTCCTGGTTATATATAATCACATA